AGCTGCGCAAATGCTCGTGGAAGCTATGATCCCTCTAAAAAGTTATATTTTTTTTGAAAACAAGTATAACTTATGATTCGCTAAGGCATGTATTGACGCCTTCTATTTTTCAAGGAATTACTAGTGATTTACTTGAGACAGCTACATGACAATTTGTGATCAATATGCTCAGGTACCAACTAACAAGAGACAAAAACAAGCAAAATGTGTGGAGTCATCTGCATGCCCTGGTGAATCATAAGTTATAAAATATTTTGAAAAAAACTAAATTTGTTTTTCCATTGGGTGTCCCACGAATTTGGAGTTATAGTTTTAAAAAAAAATCATAACTATTTTCGACAAGGACGTCACACCCTTTCCGAGTTATAGTTTTCAAAAAAAGACTATAACTTTTTCCATTAGGCGTCCGGATTTGGAGTTATAGTTTTTTCAAAAAAACATAACTATTTTCGACAAGGTCGTCACACACTTTCCGAGTTATATTTTTTTTGAGTTATAGTTTTTTTTTGAAAAAAACTATAACTTTCCATTAGGTGTCCCACGGATTTGGAGTTATAGTTTTTTTTAAAATAAGCCATAACTATTTTCGACAAGGACGTCACACACTTTCCGAGTTGTAGTTTTTTTTGAAAAAACTATAACTTTTTTCCATTAGGTGCCTCACGGATTTGGAGTTATAGTTTTTTCAAAAAAATCATAACTATTTTCGACAAGGACGTCACACACTTTCCGAGTTATAGTTTTTTTTAATATAATCTTTTTCCATTAGGTGCCCCACGGATTTGGAGTTATAGTTAAAAAAACATAACTATTTTCGACAAGGACGTCACACACTTTCCGAGTTATATTTTTTTAAAAAAATAGCTTTTTCCATTAGGTGCCCCACGGATTTGGAGTTTTAGCAATTTCTGCTTGTGGAGTTTGGGACGAAATCGTTCCACCTGCTGGTGTCGTTTTCGCAAGGCTGGTGACGCACAGTCATCATATCCTCTTGGAAAAGGCTCTATCGCGTTTAGCAACCCACCCCAGAACTTATGTTATTTTGTATTATTATCCCAGATATGAAGCGTAATATACAACACCTGGTGTTGTTTTGCAGCAAAATTTTGAACCAAACATGCGTCATCCCCCAGCACTGCTTGCAGCTAATCAATTCTTTTACTTGGGTTTTGCTCTTCCCATAACACTTTACATCCGGCATTGGAAGCACAGTTCGTTAATCCACCCAAAAGCTACCCCCTACCTTCTACAGGTGATGTTGAATGCTGTCCGCATTGCTGAGTACTTATGAAATATTTCTGCCAAAAGCGCACCTTATTTATGAAATTTAGTAAGTTTGGGGTGTTTAGGGTGCCCTCGCCCCATTCCCCCCAAATCCAACAAACAGCAACCTGAGACTGGCAATACACCTGGACGACCCTACACCTCCAAGTGGCCAAAAGGATCTTCTTCGGATCTGCTAAGCACTTCATGATCTCGCCATCACCTGGGCGGTCGAGACACCATGAGACTATATAGTACTTGTGGTGATGGCAATGGGCCAAATGGATGGATTACTAGTAGTATACTTAGTGGTGTGGCTGTTTCCGGTGCTTCCCGCAAAAACAAGCAAACACAACTCACTTGCCACGAACGATCGGAGGGAGCACGGCGAAGGAAGCGCCTGAAGGAATGGTGCAACACAAGGCTAATCATCATGCTCCGTGCCTTGCACCCGCGTGAGAACCCAGTTGATGGTCTTCTTCCCTGAACACGTTCTTCACACTGTCGGAGAGCCAACGAATAGATAGGAATTGCATCTCCAGCTACAAGTTCTTGTCCCAACATGGAACAAAAACCAGCTCAGGGAGATGTGAGGACCTGTGTCAACCTCAACCGGGCAAAGAAATAAATGGACCAGCGATGTTTCCCCTGAGGACTCAGGACTCTTGGTTCAAATCCGGGCCATGCTTGCCTTGATATGCAAAAACCCTTTTGCAATCATGGTCTCCGTGTACTGGTCCGCTCTGGTTGCGAAGACCCTGAAGAGACTGCATCCTAGATTGCTCCCTTGCTAGCTACCAGGTACCAACCACACACCTGAGTACATCGCTTGCAAGTGGCAAATCTCCTGTGTCAACTTGGCAAATTGCGGATTCACCTTGCTCTTCACAGCTGCATGTGTTGGTGCCTTGCCATCCACTGCATAGTCCGAATCGCGGACTAGCCAATCTTTGCCTCAAAACGCCCGGCAGAGTGCACGTTTGTCACCCTCCAAAATGGTCCATTCTTGTTGGCAAGCAGCCCCACTAGCAGCCCCCTACCGGCTCGATGTTCATCGAGCTCGTTTGTGCGCCGAGGTGCCATGCTTGAGGCGCTCATAGGCAATCTGTTGCACTGCCTGATGGGCCGCCACCTCCAAGCCCTCGCTGGGCTTCGTGGGGTCTGGAAGCACCAACAAAGGCTTCACCTGGGCGCCAGGAAGGTCTGCTGATGGGTTATGGTTGGATTCACCAGAGCTCGGCATTGTTCTCGTAGGAAAAGACACACACTAAAATAGCGCTGGCACAAGCCAAGTACGCAAAGACCGACGACACAGTGAAGAAAATGAAGCAAGCAGTGACATGCACACTCAAATGATGCAACACGGGTGGGGAGCAAAGGAAAACACTCCACCGCACACATCAGGAGCTGAGAAAAACTTAGAACCTAACACCAAACGCATTCAGGGATTGCTGCTAAACAGCGCACCAACATTGAGTGATTTACACCAAACATTGAGTGATTTACACAAAGGCATAGAAAGATATTGAACGAACGAAATTCCGTGAGAAACCAAAGGGAAGCAAAGCCCTCAATGAAGGTGCTTGTCTACACCGTTTGAGCATATGGTGGTTGATCAATATTCTTTCATCCTGGAATGGCCATTCATCGCGGAAAAAAGATTCTCTTTTGCGGATCTTTCGCGGCCTCATCGCGAAGCATGGTCCTACAACCATGTCTATCTAACATGAGCCGGAACATGTCATAGTATCACAAAATAGGGAGAGACATCTTGCAGCATGACCCCAGTAGATGGTTGAACGTTTCCACAGCTACTCAGGGCCACTTGCAGCACTTGTGTCAAATACAGTCAAGCACAGCTCAACCCAATCCTCGTGCCAGCTACCAACACAGGGTGATGCAGCTTGGGGAATGTTGGGGGGAATTCACTGGTGCTTGGGGAATGCAGCTTGGGGGCACTTTAGCGGCACATTCGCGAAACTTTCGCGGAACTGGTGCTTTCCCCGGGAAGCCGTAACATTTGCAAACATCTGCACAGCCCGTCAGAGCAGCTGCAGGTCGTTGCCTTATTACTGTCAGGGCTGTGCCTACCTAGATTGCTAGTCTGTGACAGTGGGGACCGGAATCGGAGAATCCTTTACGCACTGCCAGGGCTGGGCACGGAAATGTTGAGGCTTCAGTTCGTTAGTCTGTGACATATGGGGGCACTTCCGCCCACTGGCTCTGCCGGAGGATTGCCTTGCGTTTCTATTCTTTGTCAGTCCGGTAGACAGGAAAACAATGAAAGCGATGACCTTCGATAAATCTTTCGCGGAAAAAACATATACTTTCGCGAACCTGGTTCTAACAACATCTGAAAGGCTGCTTTAGATAAAACTCCTTACACGGGGTTTTCGATCAACTCCCATATACTAGACCATCTCCTTCACCCCCATGTTTACAAACCACCCTCCCCCACCAATGTGTGTATACCACCAATGAATTTTACATCTTACACATCACCCCCAAAAAAATCGGTACCTACCAGTCGTAGGGACGTTTGCACATGTCACCCGCCGTGCCTCGTTCAACTCTTGCCACCATCTCAGCCTCGCCGTGGCTTTGTCCTTCTTCTCGCTGCCCTCGCCGCCCGCGCCGCACCCCTCATGCGCGGTGCCGCACGGTCCAGCGCGGGAGGTGCCTCTGCGGCGGGTCCAGCGCAGTGCCAGCGCGGCGAGCAGCAGGGCCGCCAGGAGGCGGCACGCTCGACGCAGAGTCCCGGGTGGAAATGGCAGGCGCAAGCTCAACATGGCTCGATTGGTGCAAAAAAAAGTTAACAACGAGGATTTGCAGGTTCAATGAAGGATATGATGAACCATCGACGGTTGATCATCAACATCAACATGGCCATGGGTGATTCCAAATGCCCGGTTTTGGCTTTTGACCATCCCAATGAGATGGACTTATTGGAGATGTCGACCTGGGGGGTTGGTCTTTAAATCTGTTAAACCCAAAGATACATCTACGGTGGCTGTGCAAGATCAGTCCACCGTCAAACTCCAGGTTGAAGGGAGTGTCTGGACAGTCAAGCTGTGGCTGGGCACATCATGTTTGTTGATAAAACACTGTCCGTTAAACCAAGGGGCTGTGATAAGCAATGGCAAACGAATGAAACACCTTTTGAGCAAAGATCCAAACTTTGCTAAGCCGCAGCCAAGTAATTCTGCAAAAAGTCTGATGAAAACATTATGTTGGTGGAAGTGTTTTATTGTATGTGTAGCTGTGGCCGAGCTCGGTTTCAAGTCGTGTGTGCAAATGTGTGCAAAAGCTGCAAGAGGAAGCTGCTTCTGGACCATTCATATCGCTCAGTGCAGTCAAGATTTCACAGGCAAAGAACATGTCACATGCTTGTTTCACTTGGTTAATTTGTCTGTTGTGCGTACAAGCTGAAGCCAAGAAGGGCCCGAACATCAACTCGCTCCTTTTGTATTGACAATATCGGACACCTCGGGGAGCCAATTCGTCAATTCGCCGAGCGAAGTCATGTGCCAAGACGTGCTGCTCCAAAGGCATGGAACACGATGATGTCAACATTCATCACACGTCACACCTGGCTAATCTCCAGTCTGCTACACCATGATGCAAAAATATCTCCTCCTCTCATGATAATTAGGCTAGTCCTCCAAGGGCGTCGCCATGCGTCGCCTGGTTGCCCGGACCAGGTGCGCGTACGCGGACGCGGAACCATGTCCGTCGTCCTGCTTGAACCAGGTGCAGCTGCGCTCGTTGGTGCCCTTCTTCAAGCTGAAGCCGAAGCCATGCATCTGCAAGCCACGCTGCTCACCTGTGCGGCACCGGCCTTGGGAGATGGAGACCGATGTCTCTGATGTCAAGTTTCAGTGTGAAAAGGATGGACAAGGTATTATCCCTCATCCAATTCTCATGATACCCCTTCACCAAACCAAAGTTCTGCTTGACCACGATTCACCTCACATACCTCACCCATCGTCTCAAGCCAGGGATTCTTGGATTCTTCCCCAGTGCTCCGCCAGTCTAAACTCCACCACACCAACATGGAACTAGAAACTAGAAAATGTGTCGTTCTGAACCATGAGATCCTTCTTTTGAAACCAACACAAAGCCGACCGGTCAGTCGACCGTTCCACTGACCCACCGAGCCATCTGAGTCAAGACATCTCGCCGAGCCCAGGGTCGGATCACTCCACCGGACCTGAAAACAGATCACTCAATAAGACCCCCGCGCCCGAATGAGTCGCACTCGTCCCACGCCTAGCTTAAAGAGGTACTTGGACCAAGCGCCAGGTGCACCACACACATCCACGAAGACCACTGGCTCCTAGAGACGCTCCGATCCGATCCTCGCATCCATCCGGTCTGAGGTGGGTGTGTATGACAAGAAGCGGGGGTAAAGGACGGACCCATGGCACAGAACCCACAATCGGTGGTTTAGACCCCCCATCTCTCGACATCATGGGGGAAAAGGTGCCATCGAAGCTCTGAAACGTAACTGGACCACCCCAAGATGGACCTTGGACCTTGCGTGCCAGGGGATCATTTGGTTGTGCCAGTGCCAAGTCACCAAAAAATAAAAAACGAGGACACAAACGACGGTGCGCATCGAATGGCACACCGGGCGGGCCCGGCCTCAAACAAGTACAGTCAAATGCATTGGATCACGGCTATGCAAATCAGAGTGCAATCTGTATGGAAGTAGCTGTTCTGATTCTGGTCAATCTCTAAAACAACCAGCCTGTAAGAAGAAACCCTGTTGAAGCCTTACACCCCCTGGTATGCCCGAAACAGTGACCGTCCGCCCGAAACGTGAAGGATTCTGAGCAACACAGGTATGCCTTCATGTCCGGTCCCACCTGGCTGGCGGTCTGCACACGCTGGGCATTGGCCAAATCCCCCGGCAAACGCAAGGGATGGTTGCATGTTGGACATCTGCCCACCTGACCCACACAGCCTCAGTGTGCAAAGAACTGCAGCAGTTCATGTCCGGGCAGTGAGCCGAACACTCTGCAAAGCAGGGCTTCCCTGCTGAGCCGGAAAAACCCAGGAGCGAGGCTAGCGAGCTGGAGTCCATTCTTGGTCTGGCAATCTGGACATGTTCCTTTCTTAACTTACATCCGCTGGGAAGCCCCTAATACTAATCTCTTCAAATTCACTCAGTGGGTCAAACGGAAGCAACAAACACACACCAAAGAACCACTAAAGGAACAAGTTACTCCCCAAGTGTATTTTGGAAATGTGGGTGGGGTCGTAACTCAGTTCTCGCAGCCACAATTCACACGTTTGGTCATAGGCTACTGATACAGCATACAGGATGTTGAGTAAAGGCTGACGCTCAAAACATGCGGACTGCTAAAAGTCGGTGCAAATCAATCTATGGAGAAACAGTCTGGCCGCCCTCAACTCAGCACGCCCAAACGCAACCCAACAAGCACGCAAACGAAGCACAAGAGCCACCCTGCCAACGATTAGCATCTTCATCTCCCCAGTCACTTCTGATGGCTTCATTGCGTCGGTTTACACCAGGTCCGAACCCTCTACCCATGTCACAGAAAAAGGATCCAACAAACGCACATGGTAGGATCGGTGCTGACCCGACTGTTCTCAACCAAGCAGCAAGTAATGCAATCTGTGCCTCGGGCGTTGGGGCTTGGGCGGCAGGGCGTGGATCCCCCAGCCACACAGTTTCCGTCCCCTTTGACATGTCGATTCTGTGCAATTCACCGATTGCTCTGACTCATGGTGCGTCGATATGTTGGACCTTTCTCCACAGAATGGAGCCCAAACATGACCCCCGTTTTGATAGGAAAAAGCCATATGTTGGGCGCTTGGTGGTCCAACGAAAAAGGACACTCGGGTTCTACAGGTGAACCTGGACATTAAACTGAAAGGTCCCTTCAACAAGGTCTCTAGCCAGTCCGATTGGCTTTGAGCGCCTTTGAAACACCATTCATGGCCATGTGAGTCGCAGTCTAGTTGTTCTGTAGTGATTTTTGCACTTGGCACACAGGGTTATTGGAAGACCAACAATTCGACCAGAATGCAATCATCAACACTTCTGCAGGAAGACTCTATTGTCTCCGATCGTCTCCTGTTTGTGATTTGAACTGACTCAGCAAATCTGAATTTCAAGGATAGTTCTGCAATGCGATGGGTGGTTTCTGTTTCGCCCTGCGGCTGGTCCACAAGGTCAACTCCACTCAGACCATGGATTTGAACCCAGGCATGGCTCCTTTTTTTGACAAAAGCCAACTTTCCCACCACAAAACTTACCAAGTACCGATCGGAAAACAAATCCTGTCCATGAACAAGCAAAACACAGGATCTGGCGATGTGTATTTAGACACTATAGACACAGGGAGAGCATGCGGCATGTGCGACGAAACATGGACGTCGTTTGAAGCAAAAGGATTGCAAAAGGTATTTATTCCAAGGACCTGTATACCTACAGGAGCCCAAACAGTTGAATTGATGTTTACTTATTGCACTGATCTACTCTCAACGTGTCTGTTGCAATCGAACATCAAATTCTCAGCTTCTTCAAAGCGACCTTGTTGGAGTGCCCAAGTTAAGTGACCTCCTATGACCTGGGAGATCAAGTTCGGTCGCTTTGAAGAACCCAGGGCTAGCGGCTAGCTGATTTGTAGCATAGCTACACCGGCACTAACATATATTCGTATATGTCAATTCAACATTGCTATGTCACTATGTCTATATACTTTGTTGTAACTATTGTATTTGAAAATTTGTTGCTAAAAAATATTGTACAACATGCTTTAATCAATCTCGGGTTTAACCAACCTCCAACCTCCCCCCCCCCCCCCCCGGAAAGCAGCGGCGGCTGCAGCGTGCACCGCTGCTGGAGCAACCGCCTGGAGGCCAAGCGGAGAAGAGCGGTGAGAGACAGTGAGAGATGAGAGAGGAAGGGAGACGAGACTGACGCCGAGCATAGTATAATAATGAGCACCTTTTTTCCTTATCTCTCATTCTGCCATGGATGACTTCTTACCACCCCATGGACAATATAATTTGGCCAATGATGGCACTCACCACATTCACAGGCCAAGCATTGCCACAGGCACCCATAAGTTTCCTGAAGCTATGGCAAAAAAACATGGATCAAGAGAGGTTGAATGCTGCTGATGCACACTTGAAAGCTTTTGAACCTGGATCGGATAAACAAGAGAGGATTTTCATGGAGCCAAGATTCGATTGGCTCATGTCAATCTCCCACGCAGCATCCGCCAAAGCATCAGGCAAGCCCTGCAAACGCAAGCACTCCTTAGATTCAATGTGTATTGAATCACCTGGAGCCCTGGAACAATCAAGTGTATTGCGGGCCACACGTGTAACAATTAAATCTCAAAGTGTCTGCAGGATTCAAGGGGCGATCCTTCATCGTGAGCCAGAATCCCTTTGCAGCAGCACGGGTATGTGTCAAGCATGGTGCCGTCACATTCTTTGGCTTGCACTGGAATCGCTTGGAGGCACCGATATCAACTATCCTGGCCAGTCATCATGATAATAAGCCACTAGTTACAAAGTCATCCATGGCAGTAATGACTAGGTTTAATAACAGAATCAACTGAGACTAAGACCATACTTCCTTTGTTGGGTTTCCACCCATCTTCCGGATCATGCTCTCGCCACGTTTCAGCATCTTGCGTGCATGATCCGACAATGAACCTCAGGAAACAATGTAACATAGATGTTGAAACGTTCAGTGGACACAAATCTAACAACAGCTTTTAGCCTGGAAGCTGCGGACGTTCTTACCAGATTTCCGAGACAGGATGCTGCTAAATGGAACCCTCTTGCCAGATGGTGTTGGCCAGTTGAATGGCTTCCTCAGTCACTTAGGCTTAAGACAACTAATAAACAAAACATTCATTGAGGTTTATACTTACCGACAAGTCTCGATTGATGCTTCCGGCGAAGAGCTACAACAAACAGCCGCTTCCTAGATTGAGGTAGCCCGAAGTCCTTGGATTGGAGAGATGGCTAGGCTACAACTAAGAACAAAAATTCAGCAGGTGTCAAATAAAAGGGTTTGTGAACCTGAGATTCGGCTGCATTCAGGATGGCTGGGAAAATCCGGTAGAAAGGTTTGCCATCGTTCTCTTGAACATTCTTGAGCCTAAGCTTCCAAGGATAAAGTCTTTTTATGCTTGATCATTTGCAACTCATCATGAGTCTCTTAGACACTTGAACTTTCTCAACCAAGAGACACGTTAATCCACTTGTCATAGATGCTTTTCTTCAGCTTTTTGTTGCGTATGACATTGGGAACCTGCTCAATAAGTGCAACTTCAGGTCGCTTTGCCTTGATATAATCGAAACTGGCCACCATGCATTTCGACCGTGGGTCATCCTTAGTATGACAAACATGTAAAAGAATAAAAGTAGTGTAGATATTCTTTTAGACCTTCGTGACAAGCATCCAGCCCCCGCTTTTTCCTAGCAATGGAAACCCCCTGGCATGGAGGACCAGCGCCATAGAGATGCACTCTAGGCATCTTTGATAGCTCTCTTTTGGTGGCATCCTTGGCAAGTTTTTTTGGGGTGAGTTGAGACAACTTCAACACAGCTTGTCATGACTGAATCAGCCCAAGTAACCTTGTATGACACCTTGGGATGGTGAATGCGCCCAGCCAGTAATCGCAAGGAATCATCCTTCTCGCTGATGAACTCGAGGCTGTAGGGGAGCTTGGCTTTCCTGATGTGGTGGGTGTAAGCAGAATGAACATGAAACCATAACTCCGGGAACATTTCAATTCATGAGAAATTTCTTGAGCTAAACCAATAAGCATTCAAGCATCGTCAAAGCCCAGCTCAGGCACTCAAGGCCCGAAAAATCAGATCCAATCTTGATTCTGGGCATGCTTCCCACTCTGGATTTGAGCCCTCAAGGGCCTCAAAAGTTTGCAGAAGATTTGCGTTTGGAGATGAATCATGCTCCATGGGTTGCAGGCTCATGCAGGCTCAATGGTGATGATTGACGTTGACTGACTCTACCAGACACTGATTTTCCACAAACAGGTCAAATCAGACCAGCATCAATGGTCGAAGTCGCATCGTCGTTCCCAAACCTAAACTCACTAAGTCGCGCACCGCCCACTCGAAAACACATGACAGTTCTGGTTAAATAGAACTGCTTGGAAGTCTTTTGCACTATTCATAACTAAAGGGGCGTGTGATCCAAAATTCAAGATTCCATCTTAACTGGTGCTACTGTGCTAAGAGTGATCCATGTCATTGCTGGCAAGCAATCACTAAGAAAGATTCGGGTAGCTTCTCCCCAGTTTTGGAGGGGTTTATTTGGTTTAAGGAGACCCCACAGCAATGCCACCTCACTCAACCCCTGACCAGCTGATGGCCGCCCATTCAAAGTGAACCTGCTCAGGTTTATGCCCCCGCCGCCATCTTCCGCAATTTGGAAGCTGCAGATCCACCAGGCTGATCCTTGGGAATGGAAACTGGGGAAATGGGAAGGGCCTCTAAAAGATAGTTGGTCCTGGTTGAAACTTCCATGACACCACCTGACTAAGTTGGACGTGGCTGCCAAAAAAAGATTACAGTAACTCTGATTAAAATGAAACTTGTCCCAATGCCTTGAAGTCTCCTGATCAATCTTCTTGGACCTGCTCTTGCCCTTAGCCTTAGGCTTTGCTTTCGCTTTTGGCTGCACCTTTGTTGGCTCTGGCACTTCTTCTTCTTCTTCTCCCTCAGCATTGTCGGGGTCCTCCTCATCCACAACTTCTGCTTTCCTTTTTTTGGGCTTCTCAGACTTCTCATCATCTACTTCCATCTCATCACCCTCCTCCTCAGGCTCCTCCTCCTGCTGCTTAGGCTTCCTGCCTCTCTGCGCCTTCGGCTTTGCATCTGCTTTTGGCTTGCCCTTCCCTTTTGCCTTGGGTTTTGCTTTTGCTTTCCCCTTTGCCTTAGGCTGTTCTTCTTCTTCCACGATGCCAAGCTCTTTCAAGACAGGGTCCTCGTCAGGTGAAGTTGTTTCTTCTCCTGAGGTGTTGATCCAATGAGGAGTGCGTTCCCCATCATCATCAGCATCGTCATCCTGGTCCTCTTCCTGGCCCTCTGGCTCCTCAGGATTCTCATCATCGCCCTTGGTTGAAGTCTTCTTTGGCTTCCCACCTTTATTTTTTCCTCCTTTGGGATTCTTTGGCTCTGCAGGCGCTGCTTCCTCATCATTGTCATCCTTCCCACTGCCTTTGAGCTGCTTGATGTCTTTGATGACTTTGGACAGTTCTGCATTGTAGAGCATGTCCTTCGGATTCTGCATGCCTTCAAACGTGAGAGCCTCCAATCGTTTGGTGAGTTCATCAACCTCAGTCGTTGTTGGCATTGCTTTGAAAATCAATTTGATGATTCAATGATGATTAATAGTCCTCAGGTTTATTCACACTCACTGGGGGGTTGGCAAAATTGCAGTAACCCTGCAATCATATTAATTAAATTCCAAGACGCATGCTTTTGGGTGAAGCATAGTCCAATGTATGGGAGGTTGCGGCGGATGGCGATCATAGCGAAGTTCCCATCACCTGAAAAGGAAAAGATCACAAGTTCAAGTTCAAGTTCAAGTTAAAACACTTAAGACTCAAGTTGCAGCTTAGTTGCCAG